GTTTTTCAATGGTCTGTGTGACAAGATGGCCGTACCACCAGCCATGCCTCTGAGGCAATCGAAGGTGTTGGTAAGGCACAACAGGTTCTGACCGAAGTGAGTGGATCTTTTTAGAAAACAATCGATTGTTGGTAATTCAAAGCGCATTCCTCGTATGGCTGGTTTCAGCAATCAAGTGAACACCAAGCGGTAGAGAAAGTATATCATCAACGTTACCAAAAATTGCAGTTGGGTTGTAGTGGGCAACATGAAACTTGTTTGCGTTCATCGGGATTGGACCCGGGCTGGTGGCTTCACCAACTCGCTAATAAAGTTTACCGAATGATGAAAACACATATCCCCAAAAAAGGGTGGATGTTTTGTAAGCATCAAATCTTCTTGAACCTGGTGAACTTCGACTCTGTTGTGTGCCACTGACGGAATGAATCTTACCAGAAAAGACGACGCTAAATAATGATTGAACTGATTGCACAACATGCGCTGGCACATGTTCATGATAGCAAGAGGTGGTAGTCACCAGGTACAAGCCAAATGACTCCCACCACCAATGAGCACTTGTATAGAAACAATGATGCATTTGTTGGAGTTCAGCATGGAGCGCTGAGCTCGCCAAGGGAACAGCAATCGGGGATGTAGGAAAGTCGTCCCCTTCCATGCTACGGAAGACATGGTCCGGATCCCCAAATTCGGGGTAGCAAGTACAGGCTTGTTTGTGGAGGAATTCTGCACAGCACCAAAAGGCCCTGATCGCAAATGTTGCTTCCCTGGGTCAGACCAAGCAAACTACTCAGCCTCAAACCCCGGAAGAAAGGCCCAGAGGTTTGCCTCTTCTCCCCGTATCGGTGGAGGATTGGAACAACACGTGGCCGACATCGTTCCAAAAACCACGATGGAAACGAAAACGCCGCTTGCCGATTTTCCGAGCAGCAAGGACGCATCTCCTGTTCTGTTGGGATGGAATCCAACAGCATCATGTGGCATGGACAGGCTCAAAAGCACTGCAATATGGACAAATGCAATGCAAGCCAAACATCTGATTCTGCTCCTTATGTGCTTGACACAGTCAAATTGGCAAGGCTGTGTCGTGGTTATTTGGACCCTGGCAACTTGCTTTGTTACCGTGGATACCGATCTGCAAAGGAAGGGCTCCCATCGAGAAACACACCGCTGTTGGGGCGGATCCCCAAGCAACAGGAATCTGGAACCGACATCTGGAACCCATTCTCACAATCACAACAAGGAAGCTAATGATAGCATCAGCTGTGGACTGTGGTGCAGACAAGCAGGTTGAATTAGACATGGCGGGTCGTTCGTCAGACTGTGGTAGACAAAGGACCAAATCTGGCATTGCACCATGTGACCTAGCGAGAATCTCTTACAAGTTGAATTGAGCACCATTTTGGCAATTACTTCCCGGAGTTGCCTGAGATGGCATGCATGGACACACTGGCTGGACTGCGCAGTGAGGATTGCAACAAAACATGTTATCGCCTCATGACGTTGACGTCTTGGCCCGCTTGCATATCAGTCTCATCCACCTTGGATTCAATGGCAGTGAGTCTGGTTTCAAACGATTTGCAAAACTGTTTGAAAAGCGAATGCATCTTCTGCAAGATGGCCGTGTTCCCATCATTGATGGCTTGTTGCATTGACTGTTGCATGACACTGACACGGGACGCACATTCGTCTTGATTCTTTTGATCTCCAGGACCGCTGCCTGTTGCTTTTTGCTCCCATGATCTAATGCATTCACGGCGCCTTTGAGATCAGCCATCTGTGATTGCGTCTCCAACATTTTGTCTGCAATCTCGTCGTTGATGATGTTGGTCAATCGTTCCTGCAGCTCATCAATCCTGGTCGATGTTAACCTAGTCGGTGTGCGCGAAGGAGTTGCATGCACAACCTTGTGTTGGACGTCCTTGACATCATGACGCTTTGGCGCTTCCGCCTTCTTGTCCAGCTTGATGACTGAGACATAGGTGTCATTAATCTGAAAGTATGCGCATGGCGGCTCGGACTTGGCATTGAGGCATTGGGAAGACAGGCCCCCCCACGCGTCGGTCGAATTGCATGCGCATCTTTCCACCCCAAACCTTGCAGCACGGCCGTCAGGTTTTCATGAGTGGTTTGATTTCTGAGTCCCCTGAGGAGGAACCAATCAGAATCAGATTGAACCAAACCCTCCTGAATGGCGTTCTCTGCGGCAATATCTTGGATCTCACTACATGAATGGCATAGTTGGCAGCGCATTCCACCACTCCCACGGTCTTGGGGACATCTTTGACCATGCAAATGACCTCATCGAGCGGCTTACCAGGAATTTGGATGAGACTATATATATGCCACAAGTCCCTCTTCTTGTCTGGCGTCTTGGGCGCCAGGAAGATGCCAGCAACTCCTGATCGCTTGAGAATATCATCGGCGACTGCCAACCTCACTTTGCAGAATCCATGGCTGTAATCGGCATAATCATGCTTGGACTTCCACCTGTGCTTATCATACGGCGAAATGCTCCAGGCCTCAATGACTGCATCCTTCCTCATTTCCGGGATAGGCAAACCCAAGTAGGCCAGAGAGGATTGAACCTCATTCCAGTCGTTCACCAGATCCTTGCTTATCTGCGCGCACTGGATTGGCAACCCTTACACCTGCAACAGTGATCTCTTCAGTACTCGAGAATTCACACAGCTTCTTGGGCATGAGCTGTTTGGTGTCAAGGGGGCTTGTGAACAAGGCAGCTTTGAACGATGTGCTCAACTGTTGCAATACATACGCAGATTCTGGCATGGGTGCTTGATCATCCAAAAAGATAACAGATAACCTTGCTCGGCAAGACCTTGCATTGCGACGCAACGAATGCTATGAGATCTGCAAACTTCCAACTAACATCGACAGAGACCAAGAGGCTATCCTGTGTGAACAGCGGCGATACCAAACGGTCGATCTTGACTGTGTCCAAGAAAATGGTGCACGGCGGTTCCGGGTTGACCTGGTCCTGGAAACTCACTTCTTCAACACCACGCTGGATGATTTGGAAATGACACTCCAATGCGTGAGGCAGGGCTTGGTGGATGGCAAAACCCATGTTGGTATCGTTCGGCAACCAAACGAACTCAGCCCGCATCTTCTGTTCATGCAAAAGTTGGCATGGAAACATGTTCGCAACTTGGACCAGTCTGCCTTGTTCCCAGGAGATGAGGTGATCAACAAGCAGAAAGCCCTGTGGCTTCTCTTCGAAGGCACCCTGATTAAGCGGCTGGCTGGCAATCGCAACACGTTGCACATCTTGAGGAATGGCAAAGCAAGGTCAACCTCACATGGATCCATCCGGACAACTTCAAAAGGAGATGTTTGTGAAATGTCCAAGGCTCTCGGCTTCTTGCCCTGACTGTCCTCAGGTGAGTCAGGCATCATGTGGCTGAGATCGGCGGCACCGGGGACGGCGAGGTAAGCAACGAACCATCTTTGATCACAACATTGTCCCCGAACCTTCCTGCACGATCGAAAATCAATTCCTCAGGTCGGCAACACTAATGACATCGGTGCGAAATGGGGACAAATGGGGACTATTGACCCAACAAGAAATGAGTCCTCCATGTTTGCAGTGTTGAATGAGCAAATGAAATTGCATTCCCAATCAACTTGTGGCCTGACCCTCGAACGGCGAAAGGGACACCATCACGTACGAACCACGAGCGCAGTCCGTGGTGCTTCAACAGATCCCTTGGAAGTTCATGTTGCCCTCCATAGCAGGACATGAGAGAAGGCGCTGGTTCCCATTCACGAATGCTCCTCCTATTGAGTACGTCCTCCAAGTAGGATGGTTTTACCTTGCAACATATTCCTCGGCAGCAGGGCATGATCTTTTGCGTCTAACGCATCTGCCAGATGTGGTCGTTGAAGGCTCTTGCCAAGGCCAGTGAGTTCTTCGCGCCAGACACTGGCAAACATGACGGAAATCTGGCCTGCTTGAGGTATTCGATCAACGAGAATCCCTTTTGGCAAGAGGGTCGTCATCCATCTCTTGCGCTTGATGGGCAACACTGGATACACCTCGTCAATGCCTTCATGGCCAATGATGTAATTGCACTCATTGATCAACTTCTTGACCTGTTGAAAGTCAGGGTGCGTCTGGATAGATGGCACGTTCTCCATGGTCACAGATCTGGCATTGAGCATCGTGGAGCGCTCAACGCAAACCTCCATAGCTTGGCCGTTCACTGACTCCAAACCTTGTTTGCCATCCAGCTCCACTCCAACTTTGGCATGGGGGTGAAGCAAAATAGCGCGCAATCCTTGTCCATGACATCACAGCCCAACATCGGCTGTCGAAAACATCACCCAACAGAATGAACCGCGCAGGAAATTCTCCACCAAGGGCTAAGGATCGATGACCGGAATCATGGCGTTCTTCGCATGGCATTGCGCTGTAGCATGGCCCTTCTCCAAGCCAACCAGCGGTTGGCAACCAAAGGCCTCGGTGGCCATGCCCCAACCTCCAATGCCTGAGAATCTCTGCGATGCCTTTGTTAGCTGGCTTCGGCAAGCCAAGTGGTAGCGATGGTCCCTCAGAAAGTGATCCCGAAATGAACGGAGTCTCTTCCAATGACAATGCAAAATTCTCCAGCAAGAAGATGGATCCAATGGGCAGGACATGCTCAACACCCTTCTCGAATGCCACCTTCAATGTCATCTTAGGAAGCCCTTTGTCTAATGTACAGGCATTGCAAATCCCATCATCATAACATGAGCAGAACAATCTCACACGCTTCCCCAGGAAGAATGCCTCATCGACCTTCTCAGGTGGTTCAACCATGGCACATCAAGAGGATCCGTACGCAACCGCCCGACTAGCTGGTAAGTCTCTTGATCCCGGGCTACCAGTAACAGTGGATGATAAAGATTAATTATAAGAAAGGCCTTTCTCAAAAATGGTGATAGTTTTTTATCCACTGTTACTGTTACTTCGGCTAAACGCTAGCCTTTTTCCATCTCGGAGCCTCAAACTCGGAGCCTTCGATATCCATCTTCACCAAGCGAATTCCCGAGGGCACCGTCGTGTTGATCCTGCAGACGCGACCGCACATCCCGGTTGCAACGTGTGGGTCGTGGGGGTTTTCCTCACCGGTCAGGTGAGAGTTGTTGGATTTTATGTTAGCTGCCTCGCTGCTCTTCTCCTTGTCCTCCTCAACCGCAAGTGGCGGAGGGCAGTGTTCCCTGTGCCAGACCTCAACCGCAGTGTAGGACGGCATTGTCTTGAACTGAAAAGGCCATGTTGGATGGAAAGCACAGGGGAAGTGCCAAGCATGCAATGGCCATTCACAAGCCTGGGTTGTGTGCCTTGGCTCAGTGCGCAACAGAATATGACATCAATCCTTCAAGCTTTCGGTCATTTGTGTGTGGAATAAAATTGTGTAATGGTGTGGCGAAGCAGATTGCCCAGAATGACTTTGGAACTGACCGATCACCTTCGGGGACTAGTTTTTTCATTCTTGATGTGGAATTAGATTATGTAAAGCTGTGGCGAAGCAGATTGCCGGAATGTCTCTATGGCTCTAGAGTCTAGAGAAGAGCGCTCAAAAAGAAAGATTTTGTTGGTGTCAGAAAGGGATGATTGGAACTGAACAGTCCGCTTTGGGGACTAGCTTTTGGTCACTTTTGGTGTGGAATTAGATTGTGTAAAGCTGCGGCGGGCAGTGTTCCCCGCCAGACCTCAACGGCCAGCTCCGGACAGCAGTGCTCCCCACCGGACCTCAACGGCCAGCTCTCGAGGAGAGCAGCGTTCCCCGCCGGACCTCAACCACAACCTTCGCGGGCAGTGTTCCCCACCGGACCTCAACCACCAGCTCCGGACGGCAGTGTTCCCCGCCACACCTCAATCGCGAGTCAGAAGATACCCCAGAAAGGTGGTCAGAAGATGTGCCAGATAGAATGTCAGAAAGAGTGTCAGAAGAGATGCCAGAAAGAATGACAGAAAGAATGTCAGAAGATATGCCAGACAGAATGTCAAAAGCTATGCCAGAAAGAATGTCAGAAAGAATGTCAGAAGATGTGCCAGAAAGAATGTCAGAAAGAACGTCAGAAGATGTGCCAGAAAGAATTGCAGAAGATATGCCAGAAAGAATGCCGAAATAATGTTTCAACACATGCAGAAAATTTTGTCAGATTGAAATGTTATGGTCAGGATCACTCGAAGTGAAGTAAATTGTTCTTGTTTGTTTTTCCCAGAGTGCTTTTTAAAGAATCGTGGAGGGCTCCGAGTGTTGGAGGAGGTGATTCTGGTCACTTTGCTAATGCCAAGGTCCAAGAAGAAAGGGTTGAATTACTTACAGTATTTGATACATCTGCACCATTCTCCACCTGTTCATCTTGAGGTTAAGATGCAAAATTCCAAATCTGAGAGCGTTTTGACGTGAGCATGATTCACAGTCAGACCTCCATTCACGACATCTTCAACTGTGGCCAGCACACTGCTCCAGATGTATTCAGGAGGCCATCGCTAGTAGGTTGGAGGCCATCAAGTTGGAGGCCATTGCCAGTGGGTTGGAGGTCATCGCTAGTAGGTTGGAGGCCATCGCTAGCAGGTTGGAGGCCATGGGAGGCCATCGTTAGTAGGTTGGATCTGGGTGAAGATCTTGCTCTCGGAACAATATCCTCTGCTGCTCATGCTGGTCACTCAATTCCCCAAACCCGCAGTTCCACTTCATCACCAAAGGGTGCCGTTCGGCCCATCTGTGACACGCCAAATCTGAAGAACATCTCCGACACTCCGTTTGAAAACGTCCCTCGACCGAGCTGAGTGAACTGAACAGAATCTCTTAATGAAGACCCTAAGATCTTTGGTGCAGCAATGGCCTCCCACCTACTACCAGCGATGGCCTCCAACCTACTAGCGATTCCACACAAGATTAGTCCCTTACTTGATAGAATCCAATCAGGTGGATTGACATGGGACTTGCTGAAAATCACCCCGCTATTCCGCTATTACTACGTGCCGCACGAACAAACAAATGTCTGCGGGCAGGTCCTGGAGATGAACTGGCTGAAGGGTTCCATCCTGGGGAGAGCTGATCCGTGCGTTTCGGGAAAAAAGCGGCGCCAAAAGGCCGCGCTTTTTTTTCTAGGCTGCTATTTATATAGTGGTAACTGAATCCATGGAGAGTTTGTGAAAGTTACCCTTCGAACGGCTTAGACAAATGGTTGATCTGCCAATGATTTGCCACTTAGCCACAAGGATCTCTAGCTCTATGGTTCGAAACATAGGGCACCACTCAACCAGTCCTAGTAAATGGCAACATAGTGGCACCCCTAGTGGACTGTTTTTTCTTTAAACTTGCTTGGTTTACACTTTACACATTGTTTACACCATGCTCAATTGGCGGGTCAAGCGTAGCTTCTAAAAGCGCTTGTGCCAAAACTAAACCCATGCTTCACGCTTACCCTGTGTCCCCAAACTGAAAAAGCCAATGGTATGAACTCTTCTCGCAATCCGAGCCAAAAGAACCCCAGCCAACTTTTCAGAGCACCTTTCATGGCAGCTCTACTACGCCGGCATAGAATCTACCTTTCCCTCCACCAACGCGTTCCAGCACCGACGATCTCATAGACCAAGTCTCTGAACCTCCACGGTCTGGCCACTGTGATTGTGCCGGAAAGCTGAGAAGCCGACTTCCTCGACGTCGGTTGCCGAGGCAGCCGGGCGGCACGCGGTCGTCGCGGCACTGGGCCGCGCGGAGATGGTCGGGTCTCTGGACCCGTCAACTCGGGTTGACACAGAATACGACCAGCTTCTGTGTCGGTGAAACAACTTCTGGATCCAACCACTGGATCATTTACACATTTAAACCTGACCTTAAATCCATCCAACTCCGTTGTTTTCTTCGACAAAGCCTTTCTTTCGCCCACTCCAATTCGGACATCATGGACACTTTCATCCATTTCTGACCCATCCACGGTGGCGAGCGACTCCAACCCCGAGGATGCCGAGCGTAACAAGGCTAATTGTTTCAGTGGAGTCAAGCGGTCCAAGCATACATGGCAAGCTACTCCCCAAGCTTTGGATGCCGGCTCGCCGGTGAGGGTTTCTTTTCAGTGAGTTCCAGTCCAAGCTTCGGAGTTGCCCTTGGTTCCGTGGAAAAATTCCAACTTTCCCTCGTGGTCGCTGACGGCCACCGGGAAAAACTTGACCTCGCTGAAGCAAACGCGGCGCGCCGTGCGCGTCAAAAGTAAGCAGCGTCATTCGACGGGGCGACGAGAGGCGATGAGCAGGACGCTGACAACTAACTGACAGGTACCCCAAAAATTGTCCACAATGGGCCCTTACTTCGGCAATATGCTCGTGCCTCGTGACAACGTGAGATGTTATATAATTGGTTCCTGTAATCCCACTCCTGGTAGCTGTAAAGCGGAAGTAGCCCAAATCGAAAACTCAATGGACAAGTCTCCCATGAGACAAAGCTGAAAGCACATTATGAGACAAGAGAACCCTCCGTTTGCCCATGCAAGTTGGAGGTTGTCAACGAATCTTATGTCTTATGACAGAATGCATCTCTTTGGAAGACACAAACCGTTGCCATGGAAGGTCGAAGAATGGACGGGCACTCGTCATCTAAATTCATTGGATTTTCTGGACTCGTCACGGGCCCTCACCAGCCCTACAGGGCCTCCAACCTAAGAGCGATGGCCTCCACCCTCGTCCCTTTTTTGGGATGAGGCGCTTTCCATCCCTGCTTTGCATAGGTGCGTTCGATGTCCTGGTGGTGAGGGATCCACTCGCTGTTGGGCTCAAAGCCTTGGTGCGAACCATTGGCCAAAAGGCAACTGCTCAAGGTCGTCGTGTTTTTACTCTATTTTAACATCAAGGTGCTTTGGGAGGGAGAATCAGCCTGCCAAATTGTTTGAGTAACGAAAGGAAAAACACCATTAAAAAGAAAATGAAAAAACAATTCATCACAAGGATGTGTGTTCTTTCATTTATTTAGACCTATTTCTCTTTGTATACATTTCCTTTCGCTATCGCCCCGAGTCTGTGGAAGTTGAAATAGCCTGATGCGGCAGAAGAGATTCAGCTGCCACAAAACTACTCCTGTTGAGCCAAAACGCACACAACACCCTGAAGCCGAAGCCAGTCAACCAACCCATAGGTTTTGGGCCCATTTTCTGCTAGCAACTCCAACAAGCTCCATATCGAAGGTACTTCGATAGAGAAAACTGATCAGTCCCTACCAGCGTTTCGATTGTCCTTGGAACCTTTGTTTCGACACTTGACATATCCCCAAAGGCGCTTACGCGGGCTCAAGGAGAAGCTCTAGGACTGTGGTATATAACTAGACGATCAAAACGCGTCGGTATAGTCTAGTGAAGACTGCCACTGACGGGACTGCCATGTGCGAAGCCCAGTAGGATTAGTGTTTGATTGTTTCCGTGTCCCAGAGACAACCAATGGGACTGACCTACCTGTATCACCATACATGAGGAGTTTGGGTGTTTGTACACCGAGTATCAGCTGGAAACATCTTTTTTCTGGGTGAAGAGTACTCTCCCCCAGGTTTATGGTTCCGCCAGTTTTTCTCTTCGACCTGTATTTTTCCGGATGTTGGTCGTATTTGAGCTCCATCGATCCATCTCGCGAATTTCAGAATCCCATCATCATCTGATAATGCGGCACTGATCAACATGTCCACTAAGTTTTCAGGTGGTTAGTTCTGAGTTCTGAGGCTGTGACGCTGAAACCCTTTTTTGAGTGCTACCGGTGCTAGCCCAGCTCTCTAATCCACTCATCCACTCATCACCACAGATCTGCCAAGCTGCCAACGGCACAAATGCCACTGGAGGGCGTTCGCCGTTTCCAGGCCGGCCCAAAGACTCGCTCGAAGACTTTCAGGTATGGGGCACCAGCATACTTCTGGGGCTCAAAAAGCTTTCCTCAGAATGGCAACGGATGGCTGACGATGTTGAACTGCAAGAGAATGAGTTGGCAAGGAGAGGAGGCCTTAAATATATACACTCAAGATGGGGGGCAAACTGAGCAGCTCATGGGTTTAAGATTTGACCAGGCTCGGCAGGAAGCTCGTTCAGAAAAACAGAGCTAAGCTGTTCAGGTGGGATGGTGTGTTGGTCATTGGTCCGTGCCTTTGGTCCACTGCTGGCGGAAGATGCCAACAGTCCGACCCCAAAATGTTCCACCGAGGCTTTCTGGCCCACCATTGATTCACTGGCCTTTACGGAAGAACCATCGTTTTTGCCAAGGAGTTGAGACCAAAATTGATCTAAATTGCCAAAAACCAGGTTCAAACCGGAACTCTTTTCCAGATGGCCTCCGGGGTTTCACGCTGCGCCGGCGTGCGCCCCCGGTGCGCCGGGCGTCGGACGTGCGTGCCGCGGTTGGATCCAACGTCCAGGAAGATCTGGCGACAGCCCTCGAGGAAGCTGGACCTTGGGGGGGAAGTCTGAGCGCGAAAGCACGACGAGGGGACGAGTGTTGTGGCGAGTCCCGATTGACACGAGAAACATCTGACCAGACAGTTCTTGCCGCGGCTGCCGCGAGTCAAAAGGGTTGCCCTGACAGAAAGGTTTTGGGATCAGAACAAACCACTCGCCCTCAAAAAGGCCAACCACCGGTGAATGTGAGGAACCTTCCCCGACCAGACCGGTGTCGTTGTTTGTTTCGCGCGCGGCTTGACTGGGTGGGCGTCGCTTGGACGGCCGGCTGGGGTGATCGTTTTTGCCCGGGAAGAGGGAGGACTCCATGTCATGTGGGGAGACACCCTAACTCTCGCCTTGCCCCGATCGCCTGGGTAGACTGATCGATATTCACTACCAACCAGGGGATGTCTCCATATTTCAATACACACCATGTGGTTTTTCTTCCTGTGGCACGAGAAACGATGCCAAGGGATGAGTGGAAAGTGACAGCATTCTTATTGGCATTGAGGTCTCTCTTGAGAAAAGGACCTTGATTGGCAAAGGCTCAAATGTTCAACCAAAAAATCAAAACAAGAATCCACCTCAGGGGGCTCTCTTAGTCTTCTACTCTTGCAAGCAAACATCCAGTGATTCTCACACCGTCTCCCACCAGGACTGCACCCTGTTTCACCACCCAGGAACCTTGGTGCTTCACTCCCTCAACACCAGCTTTCGGGTTACTGTGGCATTCCTGAACACTTGTGAGCACTTGCGAGCACCTCGATCTTTCCCAAACACTGCATGACTCCATGTCATGGACATCTTTACACACATCAACAGCCTTTTTCAATCAACGACCCCAACCCCTGGCCCAAAATTCTCGGTGAAATAGGTCGGTCCCAAACAGGTCGTGTCTGATCTACAGTTCTTCTCGGGATCCGTGGTGATTTGAAGCGCATTCCGCCGATGCATTCCTCCAAAGGGAAAGGAAGGAAAGGAAGACTAGGTGTCTTTAAGATGTTTGACGGAGTGAACACACCTCAGAAAACAACGAACACATTTTTGGTGCTCTTCTCCGCCCACACAACTTGCATCCAAAACCTTGCGCATCTCCCATTTGCCGGATGAGCAACAGTTCATTTGCGTCGGTGTCGGTGAAGACAACCTCAACTCGCGGACGTCTTCGGTGGAGGAACTGCGCCTTGTTTTCACGAAGGCCCAAAACAGGGTCTGGTGAACGAGCGTTGTTCAAGCCAGGCAACCCGGACCCAGTTGTGGCAAGCCACCTGTCTCTGGTTGGTGTTTTCAACCCAGTTGTCTCCAAACCTTCAAACCCAACGAGTTGTCAACCTGTGCTGACCATTTCCTTTCCCTTAAAGCATCCGTGTCCAGTCATTGGGAGCGATAGATCGTTTGGGCATATCTTTTCGAACAAGCTCTTCACCTTGGGTCTCTTGCTTTATCTTGCTTCAACACGGCAGCCTTTCCAGTCGCTGGCTCCTCTGGGTAAGTCGCACCAAGCACTGGCAAGGCTTAGGCGGCCTAGATGCTTGGTACTGCAAATTGCTTGATAAGAGCATCACCTCATTCTGCGTCTCTGTGCGGAGAGGATCATTCTTCTCCTGGAAGCAGGAGAAAGAACGTCCGGAATTTTGAGTAAGCTATCTTCCATGGAAGAGCCTTTTATGTAGGTCAAAGAGCTACTCTACACAAAGGGAAGTGTCACGCAATGGCCCAGGCAATTGGGACCAGTTGATCCGTGAGTCTCCGCAGAAAGACACATGCCCCAAACCACCCGTTTTCAATCGCCCCAACTGATCGGTAAATAGGCCAATCCCATGGATGGTCTGGGTGCGGTTTCAAACAGGCAACCCAAACTGCTTGTGCGAGCTGGGGATGAAAAGCCACCCCGCCGGAGCTAGTGAAGACCGGCCCGTGGCTGCACCCAAACCGTGGGATCACGGAAGAGGTATATGGCTATGGCCCGGTCATTTTCAGAATCCATATGCCATATGTTTCTTTTTCCTTCTTCCCAGTCCCATGGATGCCCCCCCGCGGCCTGTCCCGGCACCTGCTTCGCGACCAACATGGAGACCTCCTCACAGTCGGCGTCGGCCGCCGCGGTCGCTGCGGTCGCTGCGGCCGCCACGGCCACAAAGAGCGTCGCTCGGAGCGCGCATCGGAGCATCGGTGGGAGGCCGGCGGTCCTGAGAGAGCGGAGCGAAGGAAAGCAGCATTTTGCAGGGACGGCAAAGGCCGTGGAATGATAAATTAATGAGGAAACAGATTGATCGACTGGGATTTGGACTCTAGATATGTGTTTTTCTACAGTGGGTTTTGCGTTATCTACTCTAGAAACCTAACTTCACTCACTGAATTCCAGGACTTTCTCAAAAGGGTGCGGTTGTGTCACCGTCTTCAAGTTCTTCACAGTCCGTTCTGGGCGAACCTCAAAAGACAGTCTAGGGCCTAACGGAGCGAACACACATGGCACCGGGTGCCATGGAACTCTTGCGGGAAAAGACCTGACTCTAACGGTGAATTGTTTGAATACTTTGACTGACTTTTTGGGCCCCGTTCCTTTGTCAATATAGAAATATGTAGTAAGTCATGTCATCGAGGTAGTCTTATCGCTGCTTGAAATCCAAACACTCCATGTATGGCATATTTACCTACATTGAAGTCATTTCAGGGGTCATATGTTTCTTATGTTCCATACATGGAGTGTCTGGGAAATGGCATCGTTTTTCTGGCCTACGAGTGAGTGTTGTTTTGACAATCGTTTTCTTGCCAAGATGGTCGTGGATCAAATGCCCAGAATGGTCTGCGCCTGCTACCGCATGGTCAACTACCAGGACCATCCAATGGGTGTCCAATGGACTACCCTACCCTACTTAAGAGATTTCCATTGAACACCCATGCGATGATCCTGGTGCCTTGGGCTTGAGTCATTTAGGTCTTGGGTCACCAGCTATCTAAGGATCCTCAGGCTTCTCCGGAGTGCGCCACCTCCTTTGCCACCTTTCACATACAAAAAACATGCCAAAACATGCCGTCTGTCACATACCCAACTGTAGAGGAAAAGACTACCACCGACCATCGGCCACTCGACTGAGGAACTGAGTCCACCACCGAGCACGCCAAGGCGCGAGCCAACCAGCGAGCAAACTCTGAGTGAAAGCGGGGACGGCGGTCCGGTGTGAATCAAAACGCTGTGGTCCACAGAAGAGCCACTCGCGGGCTGACCACGGCCGGCAAAACGGGCACCAACGGTGCCCAACCCCAAAACCACATATAAAGATGGTGGCTTGACGGCTAAAACAAAGCGCGGGGCTTTGTGTTTCATTCATGTTTTCATGACGTTATTTTCATATGGTGAAAGCGGTGAAAGCCCAGTACGAGGCCCTTCAGAAAAAATCATACACATTGGAATTACGACATGCAACTGGCTGAATTTTGGCCCCCTCGTCTTTTAAGAAACCAACAACAACGTATGTTAAGGAGAAAATTAATCTACCCTCGCAGTGCTTCGTGTCGAAATCATGTTTTCATCACATACGGTACATTTGCATTGCGTCTT